AAACCCATCACAAGAAGGGACTGGTGGAGTGGCTCAAGGGTAGGCCCTGAGTTCAAGCCCCAGTACCGCAAAAAGAAAGAAAGAAAGAAAGAAAGAAAGAAAGAAAGAAAGAAACTACCTCATTTTCTTTCTCTCTCCCTCCATTTTTTTTTTTTTAGTGGTGCTGGGGTTTGAACCCAGGACCTTGTGCTTGTTGGAAAACCTCTCTACCATTTGTGCCATACCCCCAGCCCTTTAGAACTCTTTGAGGGCTGAGGATGTAGTAGCATGCATAAGGCCCTGGGTTCAAGCCCCAGCACAGAGAGAGAGAGAATACTTTAAACATATGGAAAGTTAAAAAATGTATGTACCCATGTAACAAGTGTCTACCACTCCGTTTTAATAAGTGTTGACATTTTGCCATATTTGCTTCAGAATTTTTTAAGGAAATAAAATATTATAAATACAATTGAAGCTTCTTTGTACCCCTGCAAAGCCCCATTGTTTCTGTTCCAGGAACAATAATAAGTTCAAAATTAGTGTGTTCCTTTCCACCCATTTTTATGGAAAAATATTTTATATTTTGTGTGTGTTTAGTATTTTTGTTTTGAAATGTTACATGAGTGCTATCACCTTCCAAATATAGAAAAGGAAAGGGAATTGTAAAATGAACATCCATGGACCTATCACCTAGCAGTAACAGTTATCAACTCTTGGCTAATCTTTTCTCATTCCCACCCACTTCCCTCTCCCATAAGCCTTTAAAAACATAATATATTTGTGTGTGTGTGTGTTACTGGGGTTGGAAATCAGGGCCTCACAGGTGCTAGGCAGGCATTCTGCCCATAATCCATATGCTATTAACACTCGTAATTAAATTAGTATTAACAAATGTTTAGTTGATATCCAAGTTCATTGTCTCTCTTTTTAAAAATAATTTGTCATTAGCTCTCACAGTCCTACAAATGTGGATTCACTTAAATTTAGGAACACTAGAACTAGCTGAGGAAATTAAGTAAGTGCATTTATTTAATATTGTCACTTGGAATGTGACATTCTGGCTGTTGTACAACGTCAGCAAGAATCCATCCCTTCTTTAACGGAGAGTGAAGAGACAGTTATGATATGTTCCCTGTTCCGTTCTGTGCATTTTGCAAGGCAGGGATGCGGTTTACACTGGCTGATGCACCGAGGGTAGGAAAGAAACCAGGTCCCCCGCAGAAGGGGAAACATCATTGATTACCTGCTGGGAGTACCTGGAATAGGGATGCAAACTGCTTACCGAGGCCAAGCAGGGATGGAAATACAATAACGAGGGGAGGAGTAGCCCAAAAGACACCTCTTTCAAGATAAGGTGCCTGATCAAAGAGCCAACCTCTTCTTGTTTCCTGCAGCCCTCCATTCCTGCAGGAAGGCAAACCCAGTGTTGCCAGATATTCTGAGTTTCACATGCAGTCTCCAATTTGTAACTGTTGACAGTTATTGTAAAAGTACAGTGTGGGCCCAGCACCCGGGCTCACTTCTGTAATCCCAGCTACTTTGGAAGCTGAGATGGCGCAGTATGTCAGTTTGAGGCCAGCCTGGGTAAAAGGTTAGTGAGACCCCAGTAAGTCTAGTGTTGCAGTGCCTGTGATTCCAGTTATGAGAGAGGTCATAGGTCTGAGGCTGGCCCCAGAAATATGAGACCCTACCTGAAGAATAACTAAAGCAGAAAAGGGATGGGGCCATGTGGCTCAAGTGATAGAGCACCTACCTATCAAGCACAGGCCCTGAGTTCAAACCCCAGTACTGCCAAAAGAAAAAAAAAAGTTCTTTATCGTCTGCAAAGACAGAAAGTAGGTTAGGAGTTGCCTAGGACTGGAAAACTAAGTACAGAGGATAAAGAATGAGTGCTAATGGTTACAGGGTCTTTTTTTGGAGTGATGAAAAAGTTCCAAAATTAATCATGCATTTATGGCCAGCCTGGGCTAAATGGCAAGACCCCATCTCAAAAAAAAAATTTTTTTTCTAAAACTAAAGGATGATACTTAATATAACTCTGAATATACTAAAAAGTGCTGAATTCTGCACCTTAAGTCAGTAAATTATATGATATATGAATTTCATCTCAACAAAATGTGGAGGTCTGGGGGTTTTTTTGTTTAGATTTTTTTTTGGGGGTTAATTAGTGGTATGGGTGTTGAACTCAGGGCCTCACTCTTGTCAGGCAGGCACTCTAGCTCTTAAACCACTCCTCCAGCCCTTTTTTGTGTTGGATATTTGTGAGATAAAATCTGTGGAACCATTTGCCCTTGATGGCTTTACTGAGATCCTCCTGAACTCTGCCTCCTGAGTAACTAGGATTACAGCATGAATCACCAGTGCCATGCAACAATAAGGTTTTTTTTAAGTTCAAACCCCAGCACCACACACAAAAATATATATGTATATGTATAATGTATTGCAGATATACACACACATATATATGTGTGTATATGTATGTATGAATGTATGTATCTCCATCTCTGAGCCAAAATGAACCACCAGTTAACAACCCATGTCCTAAAATCTGTAGCCCCACCTCTCTCAGTATCTTTTTCCCACTTGTAAAATGGAAAACAATGAGCCTCTTTCCCAGTGTGTCAGAAATACCCAGAGTTGCGTAAGAAAAAATTTGTCCCAGCCACAAGTCCTGAAGCTAGAAGGTACTGGGAGAGCTGTGATGACTGGCAGCAGACTTGAGACTTCACAAATCAAATATTTAAGAAGTCTCTATAGGACATTTGTTCACTTGGCTTTGCCAAAGTGAACAACAAAGGTAGGGGCAGCTTATTTGCTCCTAGTTGTAAATACTGTTAAACAAATGGATATAGTGTTTTGTATGCTCTACTGTATGATTTGAACCACCTCCCCTCCCCACTTATTCTTTACCCATCACCAGGCCACAGGGACAAGCTGGGTCTGGTTCTTTTTTGTGCATAATTCCCTTTCCTGCTTTTGCCTTTCCTGCACCGCCTCTGCCTGGGGCTGCTGGCATTCCAACTGCTCATTCAGGTTCCATACTTTAGGTTTCATCTGCTAGTCATTTGCACTTGATTTTAACTATAATCAGTCAGTATCTATCAAGTACTCAGCAAATGCCAAATAGTGCTGACATTTGAAGTCTCTGACCTCAAGGAACTTGGACTGAGACACAAATGGGAACCATAAATCCAATAGAAAGCAAAATGAGATGCATGCTACCTTGTGGTACAGGTTATGGCTATTTGCTGCAAGGTACTAGAAGAGGATAACCAACTCCAACTGGAATCATTCTTTAGGAGGCCAACATGATATTTAAACTGGGCCTGTTATACTCTTGCTAGGAAGGACAAAGAGGAATAAATGAATCTAACATCTTAATCTACCTTGTTACCCTGACTCTAGTCCTTTTGCTAATAAACTAAAAACCAAACATCCTGAACAATCATCTCTTAAAACTATCTAGGTCTAAAGAACAGGTCTCACATTTACTTCTCTTATTTTCAGTGCCAGGAGATCCAATTAGTCTGTTGACACCACCACACCCTGGTGAAAGCAGTGAGCAATCCTCACAAGCTTGAGCTAACAATTTCCAGAATTCTCTTGCTCAGTGCTGTTCCTGCCTACCCATACCATGGTCTCAGAGCCCTGAGGTTTGCAGTAGGAGAGTTCCCCTCCTTCTAAGCCTTTCAGCTCAGTTTACAACTGCACTTTCCAGACTCCTTGCTATACTCCCCAGGCCAATAAGTTTTCACATTGTCTCCTGGTTTCTCTCTTCTGCAGGCAGAAAATCCTACTCTCTTAGAGAACTGGCAGGTCCTGCTCTACCCCCCCCACACAATACTTTCCCTTTCCTTCAGCTGCTTCTCACCACACCCACCCCATCCTGTCTTGCCAGGCACAAGTAGCGAACAGCCAGTCTCGTTCCCTCTTCTGAAAAGGAACAGGAATCTGAGACACAGGGAGGGAGCCAGGGGTGTGCAAAGATAACCTTGGCTATTTACCATCTCCTGATTTATTCACTACTTGCTATATGGAAGTATCACACTCTGCCCTAGAAAAAGTCAATAGGAGCAGGAATAGGATGGCCCCTGTTACATGTGCACACCATGCTGGGGAGAAAATGTGAGGGTATCAGGTATGGTGGTTGAAGAGTTATTAAGGAAGAGAACAGGGTATGCAAGCAGTATCAGGCCTTACCATCTGTCCTGCACAGGGTTGGTGTGTATACCTAGAGTCAATATTTACATTAGTTGGATCCTGGAAGATACAAGAGATGGTGGTTGGCAAATAAGGATTCTTTCCTGGACAACCCATCCAACATACCAGTAGGATTGTGGGCCTCATCTGCTACTCTCAGACAAGGCTTTGGGCTTCCCTGCTCTCTATCATCAGGAGACCAAGGAGTAAAAGAATAGTGAAAAAACAACAGCTCTCATGAACCATAAGGCTCTACTTCTGTGATGGAACCAGAAAGCATGTGTTCCAGTGGAGTCAGGTGTGAACAAGATGGTCCTCATACTGGGATCTGTCCTAGAGGGCCTGAAGGCCGGAGCTGGGAAATGAGTTGAAAGCATTCCATGCCGGTAGAACAGAAAGAATCACAGGCTTCCTACTACAAGCATGTTCCTGAGTTTAGCTACTTTGATGCTTCTAGGTATTTGCTTCTCTTCTCAGGTTTTCTTTCCTTCAGTAATGTTATTTTTGATTCTCAGAGTAAAATATGTTCAATGTAGAAAGCGAAAGTCTACAGAAAAATCAAACAATATACTGAATGTGCATTAGACGTTCTCCTTGTCACCATCCCCAATCTGACTTTCCTCCCTGGATATGCAGTCACCTTTTTCCATAGTCACCTTTTTCTAGGCTCATGAAAACGTATATATTACATGCAAATAGAAGCTATCTCTATGAAAACAGATATATAATATACATATTATATTTTATATATATACATATATATTATATATCGCCTCTTGTTTTAGTGATAGTTCTGACTTCTCTTTCTTCTCTCTCCTCAGGGATCGGGTGTGATTAAAGCTGGTTTTGCTGGTGATCAGATCCCTAAATACTGCTTTCCAAACTAGTAAGTCATTCCGTAGCTTAGTCAGGACTTTGGAAGTCTTGTCAGCTTTGTCATGGGGCCAGCTCACCCTATTTTAGGAGGAGGAATTGTCTCTCAGGTTAGTCTTGGTACTCAGAATAACAATAAGCAAGGGACATGAGCTGGGTTTGGAATAAGCAAAGGAAACAGTTGCTACCTGGTACAATTTGAGAGGCACAGGCAAGAGGCCTCCTTTTTAAAATCTGATTTTATGTGATGCCACAAAGTTTATCATTGGTGACTCACTGCTTGACGATGCCTTTTTATGAAACCCCCCCCACTTTTTAAAATTTTTTTGACATGGCAGTCTTGCTATATTGTCCAGGCTGGCCTCAATTCCCTATGTTCAAGTGATCCTTCTGCCTCAGTCTCCTGAATAGCTGATACTACAGGTTCACAGTACAGTGCCTGGCCAGAAGCCCTCTTTCTTAAATTTTCCTATCACCAAGCATGGAGTTTAACATTAAACTATACATATCATCGTAGTGAGAATGAGCTCCTCAGAGCTTTCTGCCTAAGGCAGAGACTACAGGCAGGAGATGGCATGGAGGCCTAAGAAAGGACCTTAAGTAAAAGAAAAAGAAATTAGACTATCTGAGTGACAGCATCACAGTCTCACTTAGTAAAGTTTCTGGAAAAGGGGCTAAGGTAATTATAAAAGAAGGAGAAAAAATTGCAATAACTTAGGATCAAGCCCTTGAGTTAACGGTTTAGAAATTCTTGCTTCCAGGGCTGAGGATATGACTCAAGTGGTAGAGTGTCTGTCTACTAAATAGGAGGCCCTGAGTTCAAACACCAGTATCACCAAAAAAAAGAAAAGAAATAGAGGGCTGATGGGGTGACTCAAGTGGTAAGAGCACCTTCCTAACAAGCCCTGAGTTCAAGCCCCAGTGCCACCAAACAGTAAAAAGAAAAAGAAAAGAAATAGAAATTCTTACTGCCTTATCTCTTTTGGTCTGCACACACATTGAGGAAGAATTTTCTAAATTTTATTTTAATTTATAAAGCAATATAAATATAATAAAAATGTGAAATAATATACAACTAACTTCAGGTAATACATACTCTGTGTAGAAATTGTAGAAGATACAAAAGTGTAAGACTGGAAGTTAAAATCAACTGTACCCTCACTTGTCAAAGGTGCACACAGTAGAACTGGGGTGTGTGTGTGTGTGTGTGTGCATCTGTATGTTCATCCTTCCTGTATCTGTCATGAAATGAAAAATGGTGCTCTTCCTGGTTATCTTTTCTAGTGTGGGCAGACCCAAGCATGTTCGTGTCATGGCAGGAGCCCTTGAAGGTGACATCTTCATTGGCCCCAAAGCTGAGGTAATTCACATTCCTACAGAAGAAGCCTCAAGCCAGCAAAGGACCTTCATTGTTCATCACATGGGAAGTGTGTCCCAAGAGTTAGATATAGCCAAGAGTAAAAGGAACAATTTTCTCCCATTTGGTCCTTTCATCTTTGGCTTAGTTCTCCCAGGAGCAGCTTCTGCTCTTAGAAAAGAAACATCTGGAACCCACTTTGAGAACCAAAGTCTAGAAAACAGGGCTTTTGCCTTTCTTCCGTTTCCTATCACTGCCTGGCCAGTGATCAAGTTGATTGGCTTGGTTACATTTTTGGCCAAAGGGATTCAGAGGGGAGGTCCTGGCTAGTTTGCTATAGGGATGAGATAATTAGCAGAGCTTTGGCAGAGCCTTCAGGCAGCCTCTAGGAAGCAAAACACAGAATCATTGTTGCCAACTTAGCCCCCAAGTGCTGAGGCCAGAGGTGGGAGCTAGGAGAGTGTGTCTGGAACCAGGCAAAGAGGAGGGCACCTCTTGTCCCTTGTACCTGAGAACCATGGGAATACAGAAGCACTCTGCTTTGCAGCTGCTTGGGCAGCAAAGGTAGTTTGCAGCGTACTGTCTAGAGACTTGAGAATGGGTACTTGCCTCACCTTGGCTGAGGGTTGTAGGGTGGGAGCTCAGGAAGCTGAGGCTATTTGGGAAGTGATTCAGCTTGCACAGCTCAGGCCTGGAAGAGTAGGGTCCCAGGCAGAGCCTGACAACACTGCTACTGCAAGTCCTGCCCACTGTCTGCAGGAACACCGAGGGCTGCTATCGATCCGCTACCCCATGGAGCATGGGATCGTCAAGGACTGGAATGACATGGAGCGAATTTGGCAATATGTTTATTCTAAAGACCAGCTGCAGACTTTCTCAGAAGAGGTAAGAGTCCTGTGTACTGGGTCCCCACATGCAGGGCTCGGGGCATGACTCAGGTGGTAGAGCGCCTGTCTAGCAAGTACGAGGCCTGAATTCAAACCCCAGTAGTGCAAAAAGAAATAAAATGGAAAGCTGGGTAGAACCTCTACCCCAGAGATGATGAAGATGATCACTGCCAAGAATGTTGGAGTCTTACTATGTGCCAGGCATCAGGCCATATGCTTTTCAGACAGATTCTAATTTAATCTTCACACTATTCCTAGAAAATATAGATAGTATTATGTCCATCTTACAAACAAGGGAACAGAAAAGCCAAATAGTATTTCTAAGATCACCCAGTGAATAAAGTGGTAGACCTAGCATTCAAACCCATGCCTTTCATAATTCAGAGTCTATGCTCATTAACTTTCAAGGAAGTAACTCTCAATCCAAAGATACAAAGGAGGGTGTGTCAGTTTTCACGGGAAGGAAATTTTGCAGTTTTTTAAAAAGTATATTCAATATTAAAGTTAATTTTCTATTTTGAAAATGTTTTAACCTTTTTTTTTTTTTTTTTTTTAGTGGGACTAGGGTTTGAAATCAGGGCTTCACACTTACAAAGTAGGTGCTCTACCACTTGAGCCACACGTCCAGTCCATTTTGCTCTGGTTACTTTTGGAGATGGGGTCTCCTGTTTTCCTGGGCTGACATCGAACTATGATCCTCCCAATCTCAGTCTTCCAAATAGCTAGGATTACAGGTGTGAGCCAGCAGCACCCAGCTAAACTATTATTTTTGTTGTAACAATTCAGAATTTAGAGTTTAACAAAATCTTCTTGACAATGAGAAATATAATAGATACAGGGGCCTGTAGAAGAATCTTTAAGTACATAAAGGGGAGGCAGAAAGCAGGGTTAAGACAGAATGGGACTTTAAGAGGACACATTTGGTAAGTGGATTTTTTTTTTTCCCTTTTGGTGATAGTGGTATTGGGGCTTGGAAGGGCTTGAGTTTGGAAAACTTAGAAAACAACTTGAGCAGGTCTTGGAGCAAGGAGGCTAACAAGGTCTTTGGGCTCTCAAACTATCAAGGCAGGGGATTTTCCCACAGTACTTATGAGAGTGGAAACCTGGTCTCACCCTGATTGTCTTCCTGGGCTCCTTTCACCAGCATCCTGTGCTCTTGACCGAGGCACCTTTAAACCCAAGGAAAAACCGGGAACGAGCTGCCGAAGTTTTCTTTGAGACCTTCAACGTGCCAGCTCTCTTCATCTCCATGCAAGCTGTTCTTAGCCTGTGAGTAGCATCCTGGCTGGCTAGCCTGGGTGCAGTCCCTGGGCCAAAATGAAGCTACCTCTCCTTTGGGTTGATTCAGAGTAGCTTGAGCCCCACCCACCCCCAGCTAGGAAGGGTTAAAGACAGTGGGAAAGAGAGGCTTTGCCGAAACTGTACCCTGAAACTTCTCAGCTGAAACCAAAAGAGAAGTAGCTGGTGTTGACACTGTGTCCCAGTCCCAGTATTCTTAGGAAGTTTGATGCTCAGGGCTCTCCACTGGATGTGCTGAGAAAGCTACATGCTGCTACAGTGCTTCATGAAGGCACCTGATATGTTTTAAGTATTTACTCAGTGCCTACTTTGTGCCAGGTGTTCTGCTAGACTGCTGATACATTCATGATCCAAACTCCACCACACAGTCCCTGTCCTCGCACTCTATCATTCCTGTTTGCTCCCATCCTGCCTCATACCTGCTTCCCATCTGCCTCTTGTCTCCTGCAGGGTTAGTACACTGGTGACCTGCACCAGAGTACAGGATTTGTTTGAACCCATTAAAAGACTGTGAGTCACAAGGTGAAGGCCCTGAGTTCAAGCCCCAGTACTGCAAAAAAAAAAAAGATTGTGAGCCAGCATCTTAGAAGTTGGGAGATTTCATGGGCTGGGGGTGTAGCTCAGTGACAGAACACTTGCCTGATATACACAAGGCCCTGGCTTCTCTCCCCAGCATGACCCAAAATTATAAAAATTGGAAGATTTCATTTCCAATTCTGAAAAAAATGGAAAGATTGATAATGCTAAGCCTGCATTCCTATAGAGCAAAAATTAGCCAGAGCTGGCAGCAGCTAACATAGCAGATAGGGGCTTTGCAGGGTAACTTCACCACAATCTACTCCACTCCCTATTGTCCTCCCAACACTGAGGCAATTGCTGTTTATCAAATACTGTAGAGTATTGCCCTCATATCACAGAAGAGGGAAAACTAAAGATAGATCTAGAAGGCTATGTGAGGAAAAAAACTGGTTCTTCATGGAAATGAAAAGTAGTCTTGTTTTCCTTTACTTATTTACTTTCCTTCTTGGACCCTAAAGGCATTTAGCTTTTTCCTCTTGTCTAGAAACTTAAAACTGTCCTTCAGGCTGGGTCCCTGGAGCAGTTGAAGGCCAAGCTGTCTCAGACTGGAAGGCCTGCTCTTCCAACAGCCAGGAAGGGACCTTGGAGAAACTCAGCTCTTTCTTTCAGTAACTTGAGGCTCTCGTAGTACTAAGCCAGTGGAAGGGCCCGGGAGAAACGCAGGGCCTACTACACCTTAGTTGAGCTGACACTAAGCTTTAAGAAGTGGGTTTCTTCCCATAGTGAGGAGGCAGGGATCAGTGATGGTTTGTCCCCTTTGCTTCAGTTACGCCACAGGCAGAACCACAGGTGTGGTATTGGATTCTGGGGATGGCGTCACCCACGCAGTGCCCATTTATGAGGGCTTTGCCATGCCTCACTCTATCATGCGCATCGACATTGCTGGCCGAGATGTCTCTCGCTTCCTCCGCCTCTACCTGCGTAAGGAGGGCTATGATTTCCACTCATCCTCTGAGTTTGAGATTGTCAAGGCCATAAAAGAGGTGAGTACTGCCCTGTGGACTAGGAATGGGATGTGTGAATAAAGGGGGTGAGGCTCCTACCTGGGGATTCTCAGCAGGCCTCTTGGCAGTATTGTGACCAGCTGGGCCCCTCCAATTCACCTTCCTGAATGCTGCCATCTTGTGGAGGAAAGGTTGCTGCTTTAAACTGGGTGATGGGTACACAAGTGCTCATTGCTATAAATTACATAGGTTCTTTAACATCCTTGGAGAAATCAGAGTGTATTTTTCTCTTTTCGTAAATTGAACCCTCTGCCACCTATGGCTCAAGGGAAACCTCTGAGCTGGCGGTAGGGACCCAAAACTGTATGGGAACAGAGGGGAAAGATACCTAGGCGTGGCTAATTTTAGATTCTGGTCTCAGACCCAGGAGCCCAAAAGCCAAGTTTCCAAGCTTGCCCACCAGAAAGGTAGAGAAGATAAGAATTCATACCCTAAGTGCCACCCTCAGTGCCAACGGACACCTGCTCCTGCTTCTGGGCAGCAGCTCTTACAACCTTTGGGCAGTCACCGCACATGGGTGGATTTCTACAGCAGCACATCACTTCCATGGGACTTTGGGTGTGTACTAGGTCTCCTATCAGCCTGATTGTCATGCTTGTTTTTGCAGAGAGCCTGCTACCTGTCCATAAACCCCCAGAAGGATGAGACACTAGAGACAGAGAAGGCCCAGTACTACCTGCCCGACGGCAGCACCATTGAGGTAGCGGCCAATCCTCTTCCCTTTTTTCCCCCTGAGACCCACAAGAGCTCTGGGCTCAAATAGACTCCTCCATGGAGGCCTGGAGCAGTAGAGTTTCTGTGCAATATGGAGAGCCCTATATCCTGAAGAGGGGAAGCAGGGACTTTGTACCTCTGTGTGGAAGCCAAAGGCTCTAGATTTTCCTGGATCAGGGTGAATTGAGAAGTGGGGTGGTTACTGCGGTCTTTAACCAGTTTGGGCACAGTAGAGAGAAGTTGCTGCTCTCTAGAACTCCCACTGACAGGAAGAAATCTCTGTGATGCGTGAATCCATGTACTAATGCCAGAGATCTCTTAGCTGGAAAATGCCAGTGATAGGAGTAAACATAAAGGCTTCCCCGCTCCAACTTCCCAGAAGCCCTGTTTGTTCCTTTTGTTCTTTATTTGTTCCCAGGAGCCCTATCTTTGCTCCTCAAGGTCCTTGACCTATAGGGTTTATCTTGAACCTGGCCTTCATGGCCACTTCATTCCTAAGAGGTAGGCAGAAGGACCTCTTCTATTCCCACTCTCAGGGTACTTCAGTCCTGGCCCCAAACTCATAAACAGTTTCTTCACCCTGCAGATTGGTCCCTCCCGATTCCGGGCCCCGGAACTATTGTTCAGGCCAGACTTGATTGGCGAGGAGAGCGAAGGCATCCATGAGGTCCTGGTGTTTGCCATCCAGAAGTCTGACATGGACCTGCGGCGCACACTTTTCTCCAACATTGTCCTCTCAGGAGGCTCCACCCTGTTCAAAGGTTGGTCTTTGCTCTTGGGGCCCTTCCCCAGGAAGTGTCCTAATCTTGCTGGGCTCAAAAGCCCAGAGAATTGACTTGAGAGTCTCCTTTTCTGCCCATTCAGGTTTTGGTGACAGGCTACTGAGTGAAGTGAAGAAACTGGCTCCAAAAGATGTGAAGATCAGGGTAGGAGCATGCTGGGACCAGAGCTGGGTGGAACGGGCCTTCAAAGACCTAGAGTACTATATGGTGCAGCCTACCTTGGGCTCTGCCCAAGCTCTCCAGGCAGCACAGGAGCTGGCTCCCAGCATACACTGACCCTGAGGAGATTTGCCTAAAGGAGGACCCATTCTCATTCTCCATCCTCAATCAGACGAAAGGCAGTTCCAATACCCAGATGTGGCAGGGTACTAGGCTGAGGGCCCCACTGTGGTCCTTCATAAAAACTGAAACTGATAGGAGATTGACTGGATGCTGCTATGGCTCCTGCCCAGGTGGCTCCCCTGTAACACCTTCTACCATCTGGGTGTCTTCTGAAGGGAGCAGGCTGCCTATGGAAAAGAATGACCATAATGAGTGAGTGCAGTTCCTGCCACAGGTCCATTTCACCATTGAATGTCAGTCTGGCCACAGCACTGTCCAAACAGATCCAGCAGCTGCGTGGCACACATCCACCGTGCTAGGCGGTGAGACAGTGTTAGAGGGGAGCGGGAGGGAAGCGGAAGTCTCAGGCTCCTCTACCCCATCTCCCCTCCCCCTTGCAGATATCTGCACCTCAGGAGAGACTGTATTCCACATGGATTGGGTGAGTAGCTCCTCTGGGAGTAAGAGCAGAAGCAAAGGCATTGATTACCCCTCCCCTTCACTATCCCATCCCTTTAAAGAAAGGCCTCCTCTGGATCTGCCCAAGGGGAATGTCTGGCTCCATAGTTTCACTCTCTCACTATTGCTATGAATTCTCTCCACTCCAGAGGCTCCATCCTTGCCTCCCTGGACACCTTTAAGAAGATGTGGGTCTCCAAGAAGGAGTATGAAGAAGACGGCGCTCGATCCATCCATAGGAAAACCTTCTAATGTTGAGAGATCATTTCACCTCTCTCTGAAGTTAACTCAACTTTAAAACTCGCTTTCTTGAGTTGGAGTGTTTGCGAGGAACTGCCTGTGTGTGTGAGTATGTGTGTGGGTACGAGTGTGTGTGCATATGGGAGTACCGTGTGACCCAGGGATTCCTGGGCCCAGAAAGGACAATGAACTACCCACGATGGCGATGGCCTGAGGCCTGGGGTTGACCACTAACTGGCCCCTGACAGGGAAGAGCTCTGGCAGAGGCCCCACTCCTTCCTCAGCTGGGCTTTGTCTGGCTGTGTGGGACTACAGTTAACACCATAGGGAGACCTTGCTGCTGCCCATCCTAGGCTGGGCTGGCCCCACCCCACCCCCAGGATACCCTGAGGTCTGAGGCAGCTTCTGCCTTCCCTTCTCAGCATTCTGCCATCGACGCCTCTGGATCACGGACTGAGGACTGGGGCTGGAGTTGAGTTCTGTCTGGTTTTGTTGCAGTTTGGGTTTGGGAGGCTGGAATCTAAGCTGTTGCAGAGATTCTGGGGTCAGGAGAGTACCCTCACATCCACCAGGGGACAAGGACCACACTGGGCATTTGAGGGCAAGAGTTGTGCCACCTCTGATTAGCTGCAGACTTAATGCTCCGAGCTGTAGTCCACCTAGGGAGTCTTGAGAGGGGTTAAGGGGCCTGTTGGCTCCAGGCCCTTGTTCCCATGCCATCTTAACCGTTTATTTATTGGGTGTTTGTTCAGTAAGGGGACTGCAAGGAGTAGCTGCCTCCTGCCCACCAGTCACCCTGCTCACACTGATGTTTACAACACTAGACTTAGTATAGTATCCAGGGCCCTCCATTCCCTGCTGAGGGTGAGCTGACGATATCCATAGACCTTGGGACCCTTTGGGATTGTAGCCTACGCTCAAAGACAGCCCACCAGCCTCTTTCATCCTCCCTGCACTTGCTCACTGCCCTGGAACCAACAGGCTGGTTGCTAGTTAGATTTTCTGAAACAGGAGGTAGTATCAGAGGCAGAGGCCCCTTGAAGGGAGGGGTGTTGGAGATCCAGTTCCCTTAGGTCTGGAGAAAGCTGCAGTTAACCAAAAGTTGTCTTTTGCCATTCCAGCTGCGGAAATTAGGTTCAAGGGCAGGAAGTTCCCCTCTGGGTTGATCATGTGCCACTCCTGACTTTAGGCCTGTTTGTGAAGGAAGTTGAGGGTAAGTGGTCAAAGTGCCAGGAGCTGATGAGCTCAGGCCCGACCCCTAGCAGTAGTCCAAGGGCCTTCAGCCCAGGTGCTGCAAAGCTGGGGCAAGTCTGTCTTCCCCGGCACCCTCACCTGTGACACTAAGTCTCACCCCAGTACCGGATTCCAGGCAGTATTCTGCCCCCATGCCGTCCTATGACCAAAGGCCCCTGCCAGATGTGGGCCAAAGTAGGTGTGTGTGAAAGCGATGTGGCGACCTGTGGTCTGCAGTGCGCTTAACTAGCTCACCTCCCTTCTCTTAGCCCAAGCCTGCCCCTTGCACAGCCTCACACAAACCACGTTGCCTGGTGGGGCCCAGTGTACTTAAATAAAGTTGTTCCAATAGACACATCAGGTGGGCCTCTGTCTGTGGCCAGAACTGGGTGGGAAGAAGGGGAAGCCAAAAGCTCTGAAAATGAGGTGGACACTGGGCCTGGTCTGATCTCTAGCAAGCAAATCATTGCACCACTCACAAATGGCCGGGCCCCAGCCTGTCAGGTGGGTAAAAAGAAAATGATCTTTAGACCAAAACCCAGACTCAAGATCCTACAGGCAAGACTCAACTCCAAATAACGGGAGTGGCTCTTGACAACCCTGAAGTCAGAGGTTTTCAAAATTTTCATGTGTATAAAATACTTGGGAGTTTATTAAAATTCAGGGCCCACGTAGATATTCTGGTTAATCATTTCTCCCATTTTGAACATACACTTGGGAAGAAATTGCCAGGTACCTACCAAATATTAACTTTTTTTTTTTGGTGGGACTAGGGGTTGAATCCAGGGCTTTGAAATTGCAAATCAGGCATTCTACCACTTGAGCCACACCTCATTTTGCTTTGATAATTTGGAGATGGGGGGGTCTCTTAAACTATTTGCCTGAGCTGACCTCAAACCATGATTTGATCTCAGCTTCCCAAGCAGCTAGGATCACAGGCAGTATAGCCTTAGAACCTAGTTTGTGATCTGCTGTGCAAATCCTTAGAACCATTGGCCAAAGCAGCAGGTCCCAACTGGAGTCAGTTTGCATACCCAGCAGTGTCTGGACAAATTCGGTTATCACGACTGGAGGTAGGGATGCTACTATCATCTACTAGATAAAGGCCAAGGATGCCACTAAACACCCACAACAGAACTGTCCAGCCCCCACTGTCTTGTACCAAGGCTCAGATGAGACACGCTGGCCTACAGCAGTGGCTTTCAATCTCAGTTGCAAGATAAAACCACCTACAAAAGTTTTCATACTGAGGGCACAGCCCAGAACCACCAAGTGGTTTTGTTCTTGTGGAATAAAACTCAGGTGATTCTTAGGCTAAGAGTCTGTGGCCTAGCAAAGGCTCCTCTGACAGCTGTATCCAGCAGTGGTGTGTGGGAAATGCACTGGTCAGCTGGCCCCGGTGCCCACACAGCCAGTCTTGGTACCACAACAGTTTGATACAGGTGGCCACCACTCCAGAAAATGCTCTCAGTCCTAACTCACCCACCTCTGTCTTTACCCCACACACACCCCCATGCATCTCATACACATACACACAGCACAGACCTGAGGAATAGGAATGAGTGGCTTTAATCAATCTGTAATGAAATGAGCCTCTTCAGAGTTCTGAAAATCACTAGAAGGATAGAAGGAGGGGTGGGTGGCACTTAAACTCAGCTTCCCCTGACTAGACAAAAGAGGAGTAGTCACAGTATCAAAAGTGGTTCATGAACCCACCAGAGTAGCCTGTCCCAGCCAGGAAGCGGGCCAGGTCTCCAGGTCTCCAGGTCCCACAGCACAGTGTATGTGACACCATGCGCAGTCCCATCCAAACCGGCCTTTTTTTCCCTCCCTGTCCTGTAGGTGAGGCAGGTCCCTGAGCACATACAGCCCAGCGCTTGCCCAAGCTGAGCCAGACACCTAAAGAGGGACAGACCTCAGGGACACTCCTCTGGCTCAACCCCAGGAGCTCCCACCCACCATGTCCTCCAGGCTGCACCCAAGGAAGGCAAAGGCGGTCACTGGCCGGCAAAGTGGCTCCTGCCTGCAGCTGGGGCAGTGACCTCAGTGGAGTGGCCTTGCCACACCTTTCACACGGTCTTAATGTCTGGGGTATGGGCCTGCGCTAGGTTCTGGCGCTGGGCCTTGATCGTGTGCAGGCGTCTCCCGTGCAGTGTGAACTGGGACCAGGTGAAGAGCTGCAGCAGTGCGCAGGTGATAGGCACCAGCACCAGCAGGTAGAAGCAGCCCTGGCGGAGTGTCGGGGCCTGTGCCGGGGCCGGAGCCGGCGGCTCTGGCCAGGGCTGGATACTTCCCATAGGGGTCATTGGGGGCTGCTGGAAAATGTCATGACCTAGGACAGGAGAACACAGAAAGAATGGGTCAGCCCAGTTTCCCCTACAAAGCCCATGGGGAGACATCTCAAATGCTACCACACGTTTTTGTTTTGTTTTTTAGTTTTAAAAACAAAACAAACATAGGGTCTCACTATGTTGGCTAGCCTCAGTCTGGCAATCCTGCCTCATTCTTCTGAATAGCTGGAATTACAGGCAACTACATCTCTTAATGCCTGCCCCAAACCTACTCCTCCATTCTTCCCATCCCATGAATGGCACCACCATCCACCCAAAAGACCAAAACCTCCAAGTTTGCCCAAGTTCTTTGGTTAACTTCTCTCCCAACACTCAATCCTTTGTCTCCCCTCAACTACCACCATCCCGGACCAGGCCTCCATGGCTTCTGCCACAATCTCCCAATTAGCTCCTGTTTGCCTCCCAACACCCGTGATCTGATCTGTCCTCCAAAGGGCAGCCAGAACAAACTTTTCAAAACATCAGTCAAACCAAGTCACTTTCCTGCTCAAACGTTCCCATAGCTTCCCTGTGCTGTGAAAATAAAATCCAGACCCTGCCCCAATCTACAAAGCCCTTTTCACCTGGGGCTTTGGCACTTGCTGTCCCCCCTGCCTGCAATTTGCTGACATCTTTTCCAGTCCAAACACTTGCTGTTCAGTCCTCACCCAGGAAGTCACCTTGGAGAGGCCTTCCCCAACTGCTCTAAGTGGCTTCCCAGTGACACTGTCTTACATCTGTTTTATCACGGCACTCACCCTACCTGATACTTTCTTGTTTTTGTTGCTGATTGCTAACCCTGCCCCTCCCCCTGACTAAACTCTGCAACTGCAAAGACCTCATCTGTCTTATTCATTGTTACCACCCAGTGCTTGGAGCAGAGCCCACAGACAGGTCTGTACACTGATTTGATGATTGAATGAATGAACTAATGAACACATAGAGGAATCTGAGACCCATCCCTTTAGCCCTGTGGGGTTAGGCTGACGAGGGGTGAGCCCAGGCCCAGTCAGAAACTATTCTCTCTCCCTCTAGATCCTGAGCCAAGCTTGTCAGCTGGTGTGGCAGGTAAGCTGTGCATCCAGAGCCTCACCTGTATAGAAGCAGAGCAGCCAGGTGCCCAGCAGTGGGGCAAAGGTTTGGCCTGGTTTGGTCACCAAAGCAACCATGCCAAAGAGAAGCGCCGAGGCTGCCTGTTTGCGATGGTTCAGCACCAGGTCTTCATCCACTAGGTCAGTGACCACTAGGGTCAGCAGCTTACAGGTGCCCTCAGTGAAGACACGGTTGCTGCCAGCAGGGAGAGTGACAGAGTGAAGGGGTAGAGACTAAAGCATGGCTCAAGCAGTAGAGCACCTGCCTAGCAAGTGCAAGGCCCTGAGTTGAAACCCTAGTACCACAAAAAAAAAAAAGGAAGGGGGTGGAACAGAGGGGTGGGGGCAAGGGTGGGCAGGGGCATACCTGGCAATGAAGAAGCACAGGAGGCCAGGGTGGTCTGGGCCAGCCAACAGCATGAGCAGGCTAAGGCCCAGCTTGAGCAGGAAGAGCCCCTGCACCACAGCATAGACACCCCATCGTCGGCACAGGGGCAAGAAGTAAAGGTTGTTGAGATGGGGAGCGACATAGGAGATGCCTAGGAGGGAAAGAGGGCCCCGCCTTGTTGGAGGGTTTGCCACAGCCCCAACAGTGATCAATGACAGACATCACAACAATCAGAATCGCCAGAATCACAGTATACATTAATTGCACAATGACAATGTCCTGGGCTCTGTGCTAAGAGCTTCACACACTTTAATTTAACCTTTGCATGACCTTAAGGTGAGTAAATAGACCCTTGTTATTTGTGGGGATCAGTTCCAGGATTCTCCCACAGATCCTCAAATCTCTTATATAAAATGGCATAGTAGGGCTAGGGGTATGGCTCAAGTAGTAGAGCACCTGCCTAGCAAGTGCAAATCCCAGAACCCACAATGAAATGTGTTGAAAGCTTTTGAACAATATGGGATAGAAGGAAAAGGGTAAGGAAGGGTAATAGAGGGGGCTCAACTAATTAAAGTACAGTGTATTCACAAATAAAAAAACATGGCAAAACCTCTTTGAACAATGAACATACACTTAAACAAGGAAGGACAGGAATGTAAAGCAGGTCCTGTTAGGAGGAAGGCATGAGTAACGGGACAGTGAGTGGAGAGGGTAAAAGAGGGTAAATATGGTCAATGTACTTTATATGTATGTATGAAGATGGAACGTTAAAACCTGAAGGCGATGGAGAACGATGAGAATGAACCTGAATGCAAAGGTACATTGTAAACTTATATGGAAATGTCACAATGAAACCCTGTCCACAACTATTATATGCTAATAAAAATGTTTAAAAAAATAACCAGTAACAAAAAAGTCATAGTATTTTCATATAACCTATGCACATCCTCCCATATACTTAAAATCATCTCTTTATTATTTATAATACCTAATACCATGTAATAAACAGTTGTTATATCATATTGTTTATGGGACAATGACAAAAAAAAAAGACTGTACATGTTCAGTGCAGACACAGGATTTTTTCCTAATGTTTTCAATGGTTGAATCCATGGAGGTGGAACTTTCAGATATGGAGGTCCAATTGTACTTTTATTTATCCTTATTCTACAAATAAGAAAGGGAGCCTCCAAAAGATGAAATAACATACCCATAGCCATCCAGCCAATGAATGAGCAGTCAAGACACACCTAGGTCTGTTAGACTGTGGTGCTTGCTGCTAGTCAGTCATTGCATCTCCTTGCCTCTGGGTGGTACCATCACCAAGAGGACCAACCTGAGGGAAACCCTGCCCACTCCCCCCAAACTCCACCTCAGGGAAGGAGCTGGGGCTTGAGGTGCAACCAGCTTTCAGATTAATCCCTGCCCTCTGCCACCTGGGCCCTCTACTGAGGTAACTATGCCTGCAACTGGGCCAGGAGTTCTGGGCACAGCCTCTGACCCACTCACCCAACAGGAAGGAGCCGGTGGAGAGGGAGATCTGGTCCAACAACAGATGCTCCAGAAAGAGGGGAAAGAAGTTGCTGTTGAAGTGGCAGTGAAACACCTGCAAGCCAACAGGACAGTGAGGAGGGGCCTGGAACAGGGCACCAAGACAACAGGGGAGCACACAGCCCCTGGTCCTCAGAGCAAGAGCAAGTGCTTTGTCCCCACACCCCTAAACATGGAACAAACCTAAATCCACATTCCTACTGTTTTTCTAATTTTGCTAAAAGTTTAGAAGCCATAGTAAAATAATATTTAGAGTAACTTTCTTCTTTTTAATTGAAAATACCTCAGTAAAACAAGTTTCATGACATAAAAATAATTGTTTTTCTTTCTTTTTTTAGTGGTACTGGGATTTGAATTCATGGCCTTGCACTTGCTAGGTAGCCACACCCCAGTCCTTTTGGCTTTAGTTATTTTTCAGATAGGGTCTTGAGTTTTTGCCCAGGGCTAGTCTTGAACCACAGTCCTTCTACCTACACCTCCTGTGCAGTTGGGATGACAGATGTGTGCCATAATGCCTGGAAAAATACTTTATTTCTAAATTTGGCAAGCCTATATACTACATGTGTTTCAGTGTAGCACTTAGGTATTTTATTTTCAGTACTGGGGTTTGAACTCAGGGCCTACACTTTGAGCCACTCCACCAGCCCTTTATTGTGATGGGTTTTTTCAAGATAGGGTCTCATGAACTATTTGCCTAAGTTGGCTTCAAACTGTGATCCTCCTGATCTCTGCCTCCTGAGTAGCCAGGATTACAGGCATGAGCCACTGGCACCCAGCTGCACTTGGGTATTTTAAAAAAGATTTTCACATAGTTCCCATAGGGGCATCTCTCTTTCACTCCTCACAGGTGAGGACAGGACTGCCCAGAAGAGCTGAGACCTGCCTAAGAGAGGGACCAAGGAGTTCAGAAGGTCCAAGAACATAGGTCTCATAACTTCCCAAGTTTGGTTTCTGTCATCAGTCACCCAGAAGGCCTCCTGAGTTCCCAGCTCTTCAGGCATCAGACCCCATGAGTGAAGCATAGCCCAGCCATGGGGAGAGGGGACTGCTCCCCATACCTGCACCAGGTCCATACCCACGAACCACAGGAAGTTTTGGTGGCGTGCCAGCTGCCGGAGGTACTGACCCAAGGTGATGTTGCCTGTTTCCTCACTGCCCACTAACAGCTCCTCTCCACACAGGCTGCAGGACAGAAGGGAGTTGAGGACTTCCAGGGATGGGTCAGAGTCAGCCCCCACCCCAGGACAGCCACCCATGGGCCAGGAGACCCAGTATTGCAATTAGACTCAGATCCTGGAGAGCCAAGGTTGGCCACTCACCCACCATCCATGGCCAGGGATGAGCACCCTGGGTCCCTTCTGGCAGCCTCAACCCGCTGCCTCAGCAGTTGCGTGGCCCCCAGAAAGCCCAGCCCAGAGCCGGCAGCCAGCACTACACAGAAGGCACGGAAGGAGGAGAAATCTTCCTTGTTCCAAAAGGCATAGGAGGCAAAGACAGAGAGGGAGCCAGCCGCACTAAAGAGGGAGCAGTAGAAGTTGAGGTGAGTGCGATCATGGGCTGAGAGGGCCAGGTCAGCCAGCAAGGCATGATGGTGTAGGTCCACAAGTGTCAGGAAGCCATCATAGAGGCACAGGCACAGCAAGAACTGCAGGCCAGCTGGGGCCCAGGGCACCCAGAATGCCAGGAACGACAGTGCCAGCAATGGCCCATGCCAGCCCAGTGCCCGTACCCGTGCCAGCACCACGGCCCTTGAGGAGAGCCCAGCACCCGACCTGCCAGGGAAAGGAGGCAGTTGTAAAGTGTTGTTTGGCAGGCCCTGATTCCCCTGCCCAGGTGCCAGAAGAGGAATGGGGGCCAAAGAGTAGGCTTCACACCAGGATATACTGCAAGTCCCCAGTCCAGAGCCACTGCGGGAAGCTCAGCTCACCAGTGGGTGCACTGTCCCCTTGGCCCCCAGCTCCTGTCACCACTTCTCAGGGTTGGGAGCAGTAATGGGTCCTGAGGAGCCAGACAAGCCAAGCAGGGGTCAATCTCTTCCTTGGTGAGCAAGGCCATGACTGCCCAAGGCTAATTCTTCAACTAGGGCAGAGCCTGCTCCAGCCCTCCAGAAGGGAGTGGGTCCATACTCAACACCTCAACTGGCCTCCCTCTTTTTCCCCACCCAAAACAGGGGCAGTGGTCCTCTAGTTCTGGGGAGCAGAGGGGTGGGACTGGAGCAGTTATGAGCTGTCCCCAAGATACAAACCGGGGCTGGGAGCTGAGGAACTGGCGGTCACTGAGCCAGCCGAAGAGGGGGTCATTGAGGCTGTTCCAGAGGAGAAACACCGTCTGCAGGCAAAGGGAGATGGGCAATGGGCTGCAGGCAGTCTCATCAGGGCCTCCCCCACCCAGCTGGCACACCATCCCAAGATGTTCCTGCTTCCCTGCCTATAAACCTTTGTTCATGTCAGTGCCTCTGTGAGAGCACTCTCCTGGCCACTGTAGCCAACAAACTCTGGCTACCCATAGCAACTGGGAAGTAAATCCAGTTAGCATAGTACAAGTGACTGTAGTACATTAAATGTGACCATATAGTACAGTGAACATGTAAGACAGGGGCCAGGAGGAGAAGTCAAGGCCTCTACCAGCTTCTCTGTCTGAGTCTCAGTCTCTGTATTACCCCACAACCCTAACTGTGCAGGACCCAGCACCTGCCATCTGCCTGGAAGTCTGTGCATCCTGTCTCTGCCAGGGCTGCTACCCACCACTGGCCCTACCTCTCCAACCCAGAAGGCTGTTTTGTTGATCTTGTACACTGAGACAAAAGTGTCCACATAGTAGAGCAGGAATACGTTGTGCAGGATGGAGGTGAAGAGGGCCAGGGAGCCATAGACCACAGCTGTGGGCAGGCCCAACAGCCAAACCTGGGGCCAGGCCAACCTCATGGTTGCCAGCCCCAGCCTCAGCCCCAGGAGCACTGAGGAGAGCTAGTGGCCACAGGCAGTCTCGCCATTCTTGTCCCTGAGGAGGAAGACACAGAAGTTAACAGCAAGGATCAGAGCCAACCCGACTCCCTAACCCTAGTCCTCTGAGTCCTTTAAAAACTCATTTCTAAGCAGGGAGTATGGTTCGGTGGTAGAGCACTTGCTTAGGCTCTGGCTTCAATCCCCAGCACTGAAGGAAAAAAAAAAACCTCATTTCCATTGGGAGAGATTGCATGTAAAACAAAACAAAGCTGAGCAATTGCCAATACAGGACAGCGGAAACAGTGCCAATGCCAAGGTAGATACCACCATTCTTGGAGTTACTAGAGGAAACTGGTAAGGCCCATGGAAGGAGAGGGCAGGTGTCCAACAAGGACTGGGCCAGGTCATGTGCTGGGGCACACAATGTACCTGCAGTGTAACCTTAGGGAAGTTAGTCCAAGTCTTAGCTTCCTTTTCTGTAAAAGTTAAAGGAGATGATTATGCTGACTCTGTAAAAGAAGGTAAAGACTAAATGAGGTAGCTCACAAGAAGTGCTCAATAAATGGACATTGGTGGTGTCATTATCTTTGCCAAATCCCTACAAAGTTTATAGTTTTATTGTGATTTTTTTTTTTCTGGCAGTATTGGGGTTTGAAGTCAGGACCTCATGCGTGCTAGGCAAGTGCACTACCACTTCAGTCACTCCACCAGCTCTATTTTATGTATTTTCAAGATAGAGTCTCAGGAACTGTCTGCATGGACTCGCTTTGAATCACAAGCCTCCTGATCTCTGCCTCCCTCATAGCTAGGAATACAGGCGTGAGCCACCATGACTTTTATAGAAGAGCAACTCCAAGTAGCTGACACCTGTAATCCTAGCTACTCAGGCAGCAGAGATCAGATAGATTGAAGCCAACCCAGACAAATAGTTCAGTTGAGACCTTATTATAAAAAAAGGGTTGGTGGGGTGGCTCAAAGTATAGGCCCTGAGTTCAAACCCCAATACCACAAAAAAAAAAAAAAAAACCCTGAAGTCCCTAACTCTTGAGTCTATGAATATGACCACATTTAGAAATAGGATCTGTGCAGTCATAACAAAACTAAAATGAAGTTATACTGAATTAGGGTAGGCCTAAAGACTGGTACCCTGATAAGGAGAGGGAAATTTGGATACAGAAGACAGTCTTGTGAGGATGAAGCTGCCTTCATCTTCCTGCAGTTGGAGTGATGCAGCTACAAGCCAAAGAATGCCAGCAGCCACCAGAAGCTAGAAGAGGGAAGGGCAGATTCTTCCCTAGACCCTCGAGAGAAAACATGGCCCTGCCAAGGCCTTGATTTCAAACTTGTGCCCTCCAGAACCAAAATGCAGAGTTGCTTTAAGCCATCCAGTTTTTATCATTTATGGTGAGGAAACTGAAGAGCTGATCCTCACAGAGCCCTTGGCCCTCACCCCAATCCTGCCCATGGTTTTAGATGTGGTGCACACATTCCCACACAGGGCCAAATCCTATTTCCCCTCCGCCCACCCCAGTCCAACAGAAGCAGTAGTACCTGTCATTGCCCCATGAGCCCGCATGGCTCTGGCTGCCTGGCATATGGTGCCTCTCCCCACCCTGCCTACAAAGACTCTGCAATCTGCCTTCTCCCCACCCAGACTCCCTCTCCTTTGTTCTTGCTCAATCCTCCCATGGGAAACACCACCTCACTAGCATTCCCCATCCTTCAGGAACCAGCACCCAGTCCAAAATTTCTCCTATACCTAGGGCCTGCCCTTCTGAGCCTTGGGTTCCTAATCTGCAAAACAGGGCAATAAATTTATCTGGATAGGAATACAGAGAGGATTAAACTGATGTCTGGGAACCCCAGAGCACCATGCCCTCACATGGAAGGTACTCACAAAGTAGCCCTTTAAAACAAAGCAGAGCATGAGCAAGCCCCTTCCCCACGTAAGGAAAAAAGAGAGGACAGGAGGGAGTCAGATGAGAGTGTGAAAGGAGACAGAACTCAGGCAATGCCAGAGACAAACCCCCACCACAGACCTCAGTTGGAGGTAAAGCTACCTGTCCAGGTGAAGAAGCTCTGGAAAGGAGGACACAGGGATGGTTTTCAGCATTTCTCCTCCAGATCCCACTCCTCCATCAACAAACAGCCTTCCCCCATTTGCTTCCTCACCCTTAATCACCCCAGTAGAGAACAGTGACTGCTTCTCTCAAGAAAGAACAGCTCAGGGCCCACACTGCCCAGTTGCATAAGCTGCATATTCTATAACCTGTAACCTGCAACCCTCCTTACTGCCCCATAGGCATGTGCACAAGAGTCTGAAGGAGGCCCCCTAGTCTATCCCTGCTTGAAATTGTCCCAATTGGTGGCCTTGGGCCAACCACTCCCTCTCCCTGGGCCAATGGGGATGTTAATGCCAACTTCTTAGCTAGCAGTGGGGCTGCAATACAAAAGGAACATGAAGCACCAAGAATAGTGCCTGGCACACAGAAGACTCAGTAAACAGTAGCTATTATTTGGTTTCATATCTCTGAAGTTTGGTTTCATGACTTTATTTGCTTGAGGCAGGGTCTCAATGTTCAGTCCAGGCTAGCATGGAACTCAATGTAGCCCAGGCTGGCCTCAAACTCTCAATCCTCCTGCCTCAGCCTCCTGAGTGCTGGGATCACAGGCATACACCATTACTGGTATACTGGTTTCGTGCCCAGCTACTGGTTTCATGACCTTTCAAGACCAGTCAGGGACCCCTCTGAGATATACATGATAGCACCCAATGCGGATGCCTCTCGCTGGCTGCAACAGCCCAGCCCTTCTTGTCTGCCATCCCCCAAATTCTTTTTTAAATGCCACCTCCACACTTTGATTCATACAGTGCTTTCCATCCTTGATACCCTAGATGTGACTATAGGCTTTTTCTCAAGTATTTAAGGCATGCCTGGCTTTCACACTCATCATCACAAATCCCCACAACTCAGTTACTACTCCATCCACACTTTACAGAAGAAACCAATGCTCTGAAGACTAATTGGCCTAGGATCACCCAGGGTCAGAGATATTAGGTACTAGAGTCAAAATCGGTTTTGACAAAAAATCTCAGCATTTCTCACTTCACCATGTGCCCCTCTTCCACAATCTTACCAAATCCTACTCATCAAAGGCCCAGGCAAATGTCACAAGCCTTGAAATTCACCTAATGATGTATTCTCTTCCTTTTGGGAATCCCTTGGCCCCAGTATCCAGCATTCAAATGCCTTCCTTACCCTCCTCCAGCCCACAAGCTTCCTCAAGGGCAGAGCTAGGTCAGTCTCACCCCTGATTTCTATCCCTGCCTCCACACAGCAAGCACTCAATTAATACTGCTAGGTGGATTTGCCCCTGAAAAGCCAATATGGGTGTCTGAAACCCTAGGAACAGCTGCCATAGGAAAATCCCCCCCGTTCTCCCAACCTTGACTGTGGGAGTCCAAGAAAGAGGCCACCAGGGAAGCAGAAAGTGTTCCTCTGAGTAACATCTGTAAAGCCAGGCAACAATGTACAGAGAGGAATATTGATAACAGCAAAGAATAACATTTATTAAACTTTCATGAGTGTACAGCACCTGCTAAGAAAAACAAAAACAAAATATAGAAACAAGCAGGAGCAGTGGCTCATACCTGTAATCCTAGCTACTCTGGAGGTGGAGATCAGCACAAAAAGTTCATGTGACTCCATCTTGACCAATAAAAGCTAGGTGTGGTGGCTTGAGCCTGTCATTCCAGATATGTGGAAAGGAAGATACTGATGCAAGTCAGCCAGGGCATCAAAGCAAGATCCTATCAGGATTGCTCACGCCTGCAATCCTAGCTACTCAGGTGGCAGAGATCAGGAGGATCGAAGTTCGAAGCCATCCTGGGCAAATAGTTTGTGAGACCCTATCTCAAAAATAAAGGGCTGGCGGAGTGGCTCAAGGTGAGGGCCCTGAGTTCAAGCCCCAGTACCACAAAAAAAAAAAAGAAAGAAAGAAAAAAGGGCTAAAAGCAAAAAAACAAACAAACAAACAAAAAAAAAAAAACACCAAGGGCTAGAAGCATGGCTCAAGTGGTAAAACACCTGCCTTCTAAGTATGAGGCCCTGAGTTCAAACCCCAGTACCACAAAAAAAAAAAAAAAAACAGCCAGGCACCGGTAGCTCATGCCTATCTAGCTACTCAGGAGGCAGAGATCAGGAGGATCAAAGTTTGAAGCAAGCCCACCCAGGCAAACAGTTCTCAAGACTCTATCTCAAAAATACCCAACACGAAAAAGGGCTAGCACAGTGGTAGAGTACCTGCCTAGCAAGCAAGAGGCCCTGAGTCCAAAGCCCATACCATAAGGAAAAAAGAAAAACAGAAAGAGTTGGAAGACGGAGGTGAAAACGGGCCAGACTAGGAGACGTTTTGTAAGTCTCACCCAAGAGCCTAACCTGAGGACAACAGGATAGGGACATTAGGAGAGTGAGAAGTGACAGAATCAGATCTGTCTGGAAGGAGCCCTCTGGCATCTTACAAAAACTCTCTCTCCTCTTCACCCCACCAGGTTTCTGGGAGATACAGAACTAGAAAGAAATGCAAACAGAAGAATCTTCCTGATTTGTTATTGTTGCTGTACTGGGGGTTTTGAACTCAGGCCCTTGCAGTCTACCACTTGAAACATGCCTCTGGCCCTAGCATCTTCCCAATTTCTGAACCAACCTATGCCAAGTGGGGGTGTGGAGGAGTGCTGATGGAATTGGGAGAGGAAACCAAGAATGCCAAACTGTAATGAGGGGCATCAGGAGGGTGAGTGTTTCCTATTCCCTTCAGAGCTTAAGACTGTAGAAGTAGTTATTGCCCAGGGGAAAAGCTACTAATAAGCATAATTTGGCATTGGAAAGCCCTGGGTCAAGTCTGAACTTCAGCTAACTAGCTGCGTTTATTCCCGCATCTGTGAAGTGGAAAAAAAAATTTTCACTTCCTGCCTGTCCTTAGGGATAGCAAATGAATAGATGAAAGTGTAAGTCGTATTGTGAAACAAATATTAGGCATGTTATTTTCTCAGCAAGCAGCTGACCTCTCAATTGTTTCTGTTTTACACTCCGGAATCTTGTCTTGTCTCCTTGATCAGTCTCCCCACAGTAGGGTCCAGCCCAAGTGGGCATGTTGGGGTGGGGAGCCTTACTTTCTATCCCAAATACTA